TTGCATCGGATTATGAAACAGTCGCCATTGTCGAGGCCTATATGATTTTGGTCGAGTATTTTCTTTGCTTCATGTTTTATATGCATGTCTATCAGCTAGCAGTTGTAACATCGAACATTCTTCTTTCTTTAGCCGAGAAAAATAATATTTGTTTTTACGATTACGAAATCAGTTTGTGTTTGCTTTTTGCTTTTTTGCTTTTCCACTGGTTTGCTTCTCACTTCAGAGTTATGAGTTCATCCTCGTTCCGATATCTAAAAACAAACATAATAGCGAGTTTATAAAATTAGATACAAAAATAAATTTCTAGCGTTCAGTAATTGAACCTCTGCTAGATAAAGCCATCTCCTTAGGTAAAGAACACGAAAATATAGGAAAAAACGAATTAAAAATCATTAAACATTGCCGAAAATCGCAATTAACCGTCAAAGAATTTGCTTGGCTAAAGAAAGAATGACGACCATTGGGTTCAAGCTTGAAACAGACTGTCGCCACTCGTTGTGATATCAGTGTCCCGTCTTACGTCTAAACATTGAAATACAACTGAAATTGATCACTTTTACCCATCAATATAGCATAACTAAAAATTCTATTTTATCGCATATATATATATATATATATATATATATACGTAAAGAGATTTTTTAATTTATTAAATTACACACACATAATTTTTTAGTAGATACTCGTATTTGAGTAGACGCTCTGTTTATTTATTAAACAGTATATTTATTTATTTTCCTCTACCGGCCTGAATATTCCAGAAAACTTCGAAAAATATTCGCTCTCAGGCAAGATTTCCATCTGCCTTCCGATGGAGGTCGCCGTCATTAGAACTAACGTGCGTTGCCTTCTCCTAGAGATAACCAAACCATATTTAAGATACACACGGTGAAGCCGAAGTAGCTTGCTAAGGTTGTTATATGTTATCAAGTTAATATTTAAAAATATTGATATTGAGGGAATTTTTAAAATCGAATGTCATTGGATGATGGGGTAGAATTAGTCTGTAGTTGATACATATATGAAAAAATATATATATATATATATATATATATATATATATATATATATATATATATATATATATATTATATATTTTGTCTTAATATTTGTTTCTATTTTTTTCTTTTTCTAATCTTTAGGCTTCTGTATTGAATTATCCTTAATTATCCTTAATTATCCAGTACTTATCGGTATTATATTTTTACTACAATGCTATAAAATATAATATACTGTTAAATAAACTTTAGGTTAATTAATTATCATGTAACAAGATGTATTTATTTACATATGAGCTCTCTTTAAATTTATATATATATATATATATGTGTGCGTGTATATAGAATATAAGAAATATATATATATATATATATATATATTTACAGATGTTTGGTGGTACAAAATTTTATCACTGCCATGAATAAACAAAAATTAGTTTTATTATTACCACTCACGATAATAAAAAGTAAAAATGAAAACAGGCTAGCTAACCGGTTTCGTACCTCGCTCAACAGAGCTAAATCCAGGTAAATAGAGTAAATTATATAATAAAAAAAAAGCACAATGGACAAAGTTTTTTGGTGGGGAAAAAAATTAAATGGTAATTAGTTGGAGGCCTAATATAAAGTCCTTCTGTTTACAAAGAGAAGGCTTTAAAGATAGTTTTAGTGCGGACGCTTTTAAAATCCTTAAAATCCACTCAAATTACCACCGAAAAGTGTTGGAGGGCATCTATATTTTATCTTTAAAGACTTCTCTTTGTCATTTGTCTTACTTGTAGGTTCTAATATAGGGATAAATTTATTAAATTAATAATTCTGAATTATCTTTCATCTCACTGAGGTTATCTCTTAATATTTTATATAAATTAGTTTTGTTTTTCATTTATTCATTAATTTCAGTGGGATTTGAGTTGAATGAAACTACAGCCGTTTTACCATTAGGATGTAAGTCAGCTCATCGGATTCCCCTTCTCTCTCTCCACCCACTCCTTCCTCTAAGATATCATACCCCACATTACTTCCATTCTCTCTTCCATTCTCTGTCCACTCTGACCATCACTAATTTTACACTAATTTATTTCTTCATTACTACTTCCCCGTTTTTTCCCGTATTTTGTTCTCGTTTTCTTTTTTTCCCAGCTGGCTAGTCCTCTTCAAAACACTGACACAATAAACAGTTTGAAAAATCCTGTATCTTAATTCCAATTGTATGATATATATATATATATATATATATATATATATATATATATATATATATATATATGTGTGTGTGTGTGTATGTGTGTGTGTGTGTGTGTGTGTGACCAGCCCGAAACCCAAACGAAATAAAAATATTTCTTCTCTTCTACTGGCTGGCATCCATGGCAAAAGAGCACCATCTAATCTTCTATTTAGCCTACAAACACACACACACATGCACAGATAGATAGATAGATAGATAGATAGATAATGAAAACTGGAATTGATAGATAAATAGGTTTTATGATGCGTATATATTTTTTATATTATTAATTTCGTGCATGCGCGTTGCTTGTTTTTGATTCTGTCGACAGCACAACATACTAGAGTCAGTTGAGAACTGGTTGTGAAAAATTCTCTCCACGAGAGATTTGGAAACGGCATGTTGTACTCCTAGGAATTCGTGCCTGAAGCTTCAAAATGAACATTTCAGAATGTTTGGGTGTCAATCTGAGGTCGGTGCAGAAGATTCGGAAAGAGTTGGATGAGTCTAATGGTGATTACGAAGGTCTTTGTAGAGATCGTTATTGATGACGACGTTATGCTTCCTTTCATCTTTTCGCAGTGCCTCAAACTCAATACGGAGGCCTACATCAAGTGCTTTGAGGATGTAGTACTGCCCTGGGTCAAGAGAATCGGCACTGGAAGACTCAATATGGCTCTGGACCATGCCATTAAAGCAGTTTTTGCATGAAAGAAGGATTGCAGCCGAAATACTCAAATACATACATACATGCATATATATATATATATATATATATATATATATATATATATATATATATATATATATGCATATTTAGGCAGCGTCTCGTATATACGAGTTTGTCGTTACTTGGCAATGTTCATGCAACAAGGGCGGACTATCATTGTTGTTTCGTCCATTGTTGTTTGATTTATTGAAATTGTCATCTTTGTTAATATATTTTTTAAGCCGAAAATTTTAGATTCGACTTAAACATGTATCAATATGGTGTTTTCCTTTCGTCTTTCAACAACGATAATGTGATTAAGCTTATCCGACAATATGAAAGGAACTTACTTAAAATAAATAGACAAAATGTATCTATATTATTTAATGAAACATACATACATATATATATATATATATAGAGAGAGAGAGAGAGAGAGAGAGAGAGGGGGGAGAGATAACATCTAAATATGATGCTGTTTTTGCTCCATTCTAATTGAACGCTTTTTCTGATCAACCATCTGGATATGATTGCTAGTATCTCTTTAATTTGCTTACCTGTCTATCTTTGTATCTCAATTTTACTTTCTCTCTTATCCTCTATATGAAACTTTTTTTTTCTTTTTCATATTTCTTAATTGGCTTACCTGTCTTTCCGTGTGTCTCCTTTCTCTTTCTCTTTCTCTTTTTCTCTCCCACTGCGTTCTATTCTTCCTTTCTTTTTATACCACTTTGTTCTTACCTGTCTATCTCTGCATCTCACTTTTCTCTTACTTTCTCTTTTTGCCAGGTCTGTTCGTTTCTTTCTTATCTCTTAGTCTCCTTTACTGTCAATCTCTCTATCTTCCTCTGACATCTTCCTTTTTATGTTAACTCTTCTTTCCTCTTTTTCTCTCGCTGTCTTCTATTTTCTTCTTTTTGATATTTTTCTTTCCTTATCAGTTCTTATCAGTTTTCTTTTATTTGCTAGTGGCTTCTCTCCCTTACTCGTTCTGTCATTCTTTCATTAACTTCATTGTTTACTCTTCTTTGAGATTTTAATCTAAAATCCATATTTTCAAGAATTGTGACTAAGAATCGCGAATTCTAAAATAGTTATGAAAACTGTAATTCACATTCTAACATAGAAAGTACTTTTAGGTTTTAATATATTTTTGAAATTTCATTTTTTTTATATATACTTTTAAGTAGATTACATGGCATTCCATTCTAAGCATTCATCAGATTTATTGCACCTTTGACATTTTCCAAACGCATTAGGGGTCCCCATAATAATAACGAGAGTAAAAGATGAAGTAGAAGAGGAAGGACAAAATCTTTCAGAAAGTTAATCAGTAAAACTGAAACCACATTCACCATTAAGAAAGGATGCAAATCAAATATTGGTTTTATGGCTTGAAATAATCTTATATGCAAGAGAGTATTTTGCACAGGCGAATTAGATAGATAGATAGATAGAAATAGAATAGAAGAGAAGTTAGAGGGAGATCTATAGATAGATTAAAGGTATATTCAGATATAATTTATACGATAGATAGATAGATAGATATATAGATATGAACAGACTGCGATATATATATATATATATATATATATATATATATATAGATAGATATATAGATAGATAGATAGATAGATAAAATATATTTTATGGTATGCTATATTTATAGGTTAATGTCTTTAATATCAGTGATAGAGCGCATGGAAGTATAAAAGTGTACATTAAAGTAAACACCGAGCAGCGACAGTGTGTTTCAGGCTTATACTCATGCGTATGAGCATGAAACTGACACGAAGAGAATTAGATAGTGTTGTGGTAGGATCCACCTAATTTGCATAGTGGAGTACCGACAATATAAATATGATTGGTACCGGGAAGAGAGGGAGGAATCAAGAGATTCAACCAGAGACTCTGGCCGACTGCGACTCAGTCAACACATTCTCCAGGAACGGTCTTACCAGGAATATACAAAAGACTATATGTAAATATTGTGTACACTTTCTTGTTTCAATACATTTTGTTCTAAGTACATTTTGTGTTGCATTATTATGCCATGCATTAGTCAAGTTTCAACAGATAGATAGATAGATAGATAGATAGATAGATAGATAGATAGAATAGAAGAGGCATTAGAGGCAGATCGACCTTTAATATGCGGTTTGTGGATATATGTTATCTGAGTCCCTTTTTTATCACAGTTAATATAAAAATTAAATAAGAAATATTTAAAGTTTGATCATTATTTGCTGAGTATAAATTTAAACTTCATTAGGTTAAAACGTAAGTTTAATGTTCAGGGTTAGTAAAAAATATTTAAGAATTGAAATCCTAATTTTAATGCTAGATATCAGTGTGGAATTTTTCATTAGTGTTGACGGAAGAAATGGTGGGCGGCAGAGGGATTAAAGAGATTTCCGGTCAGCAAGTGTTACAGAGGAATGTCTGAAGACAGAAGTCAACAGTAAAAGGATTAAGGGGAAAACACCCACGACATGTACATATATAATTCCATGTTGAAGTTGGTAAATGGTGCTATACTACTTGCCTTTAGTTCATTTTTAGGGTTCCATGGATGCTGACTGGAAATATTATCCAACTCTTTCCAAATACTCTGCACTGTCCTTAGAAACTTCCAGACACTCTGAAATGTTCGTATTGGAACTTCCAGCGCGAATGTCAAGTCGTACTGCATGTTTTTACCAAATTTCTTGGGGAATGAATTTTGTCATTATGTTCTTTTATTCACAGACGCCGCCCAACTGACCCTACTATACTATGTACTTTGCGATTACTGAAACCAATACAAGTTAACAGTCTTATAAACTGCATACGTCAATAAATATTATTGCGTAAATGCATTTTCTTAATTTCTTCCTAATTTATATAAAACTTTTGTAACAAAATGTGTATGTAAAAAAAACACGTAAATTTTGTTTATGTCTTGTGTGTCTCAAACATCTGAACCTTATTATATGTGGCTTTTACATTAAGCAAGTTTGGCCAACCCTACTCTATACAGTTAAATTTCTGTCCCAGCTTAATTCTAACATCTACAATTCGTAGTTCATATCTTAGGTTGCTTCGTTTGCTGACGATCATATATTGTCTCTGCTTATAATTAACGATCAGTCCTTTCTCCTCGCTTTCCTTTTATTCCTTCTTTAGATTTTGTATTTGTTCTTCTAAATCCGCCATCAGCACATTGTGTTCTCTACTTATCTTATATTGCTACGATTATATCTTCTGATCATAAATCTTGTTTTATCCTGGTCGATCTTTTACTTCTACTGACTGGATTATGAAATCAAATTACCAATATATTATGCTGTCTTAGCCAAAGCACTAAAGTTGTAAAAGAAACCACTAAATTTCTTTTTTGTTGTCTGAGGCAAGGAAATACACCGAGTTTTTTTTTAATTCAAAGGTTATAATGTAATTTTTAGACCGGCATCATGAACCTGACTATTCTTTCTGTTTTTCCTTTCATTTTAGTCTCATAGATTCCAGTGGTGAGTATGAGGGCCACTGTTTACGCTCTGGTTTCCATAGCAAGTAAGGTTTTACGAGGTAACGTTTTTAAACCTATGACCAGCTGTTTTTGTTCTTGCAAATGAATAGAACAGGGATTAGAAGAAATGACAAAAGATTACTAAGAAAAAGACAGGAGACTGTGAACAGAAGGGACACAGTACAGAAAAGATGATATGCCAGTGAATACTAAAGGATCTGATCACAGAGGAAGAAAAGACAGAGGTATCCAGAGCTTAGAGAAATGTAATTCTACAGGAAGATGATGAGAATATCATAGACAGGTTATGTGAGCAACGACGAAGTTTTAGAGAAACTTGAAACATGAAACAAAAATAACACTTATACTTTGCATCAGTTGAAATTTCTAAGGTACATTATGGGGGAAAGAAGGCTTAGAATATGTGACACTCTCGTGACAGAAAAAAAGCCGCGCCTCACCTAGCTAACAAGATTGGGTTGGCCGAACACGGTTTAGGAGAGAGAGAGCGAAATTTCGTGCCCATTGCAGCTCTTTAATAACAGGAAATTGTGGAGAGCTATGACTATCCACGTTCTTAAAGGACACGACACATGGAAGAAGAATACTCGGTGTTCCCAAGCGGTCCCTCATCTAAGTACTGATCAATCTCATTGATGCTTAACTTCAAATGAGAAATGGTGTTTCATCGTGAATAGATACTAAGCGGTATCTTCTTTAAATATCTAGAAAATGTTCATATACGCTTAAGATGAAAAAGAAGAAAGAAGAAGAAAAAAGAAGAACAAGAAGAAACAATAAGAACAAAGAAGGAGAAGAAAAAGAAAGAAGAAAAAGAAGAAGAAAGAAAAAAGAAGAAAAAAGAAGAAAGAAAAAAGAAGAAAAAAGAAGAAAAAAGGGGAATAAAGAAGAAAAAAGGGGAATAAAGAAGAAAAAGGTGAAAGAAGACGGAAGAAGAAAGAACAACAAAGAAGAAGAAAAAAGAATAACTAGAAGAAACAATGAGAACAAAGAAGGAGAAGAAAAAAAGAAAAAAGATAGAAGAAGAGAAAGAAGAAGAAAAAAGAAGAAGAAAGAAGAAAAAAGGAGAAAGAAGAAGAAAGAAGAAAAAAGGTGGAGATGAAGAACAAGAACATGAAAAAAGAAGAACAAAAAGAAAGAAAAACAACGAAGAACAAGGAAGGGTACTAGGAAGAGTCTTAAAGATCAAAGAAAATAGAAAACATCCAGATGATAACACTGATAAAAGCAGCTAAAATAAAGGAGAAACCCTAAAATATTGAAAAGACTTATTCTCACTTGATAACCAATGAAAACCACTAAATTATTACTGTTGTGAGAACTCGCTGATTATAAATAATGAACATGTTTCTCTATTATCATAATCAGTATAATACTACAATGAAATCTTTACAATAATAATAATAATAATAATGAAATTATGCTGATAGGGGTGGTCGAAAGCGATCACCAGGATTTTTATGGGATTTCAACATCAAAACAAGCAGAATCACGACACCAGACATCATTGACGTTGACAAAAATGAAAAAAATCCTCATCGACTTGTGGTCATCTCATCATTTCTTTACTTTCGACCAGTGGCTATCAATAACTGGAAACAACTTCGAAATACAAGAGCAAGTGGTTCAGACTGAGAGAAAGGAAGGCAGAGAGAGATGGAAGGCAGATTAATTACTTTTTTGAGAAAGATGACAGAACAAAGAAAACTGTTGTCTATAAACCTGAGCATTCCGTGTAAAGGAGAACGGTCATAGACGACGGCCGCTGAACTGTGCATCTCCACCTTACGCCTCAACCCGCCTTCGTTCGCTGATAAGTTACTACCTAAGAAAAAAGATCAGGTTTAATACCAGAAATTGTTTTGTTCTTCACTCGAAGGGCAATTTTGAAAGCACAAGCCTTTGGGTTGTCACTTTAAAAAAGTTATATAATGTTATCGAAGAGTATTACGAACATGGACGTTCAAACAGAAATGCATTTCGCGTACGTCACGATTTTTTTGGTCAACATAATAGACCTACCGAGAGCACAATTGGAAATGATGTAACGTTGTTTTGGAGAGGTTCAATTCATGCGCGCGATGACGAATAGAGGTGTCTTTATTTTCGGCCATATTCTCGTGAACTGCAGCAATGTTTTCAGCTGAACGGCGTAAACGAGCATGCAGTGGTGTTTTCACATCTTTCACCCAACTTGTTTGTTTGAATTTACGAACAATTTTTCCAACTGCAATCTTGAAACTTTAACACGTTCTTGGATTGTTAATCTTTGCATGGTTGAAACTGCCAATGATTTTTGCTTGATCTGAAAGAAAAAGAAAAAATTCATTAGACGCTTAAACTTAATTAACATTTAAAATTGGTCCAAGTTATTGGAACACTCTTTATAAGGACATCATTAATTACATTAGTACGTGCGTCCAATGCACATTAAAAATGTCCAAAAAGTAAATTCTAGAATGCAAGAAACTGACATACTCCTATACCCTTTTGGTAAGATTGCAGTTGATGCATTAGGATCTTACCATTGCTCATTATCAGGCAATCAATACAGAGTTAGTTTTATCGATTTATTTAACGAATGGACTTAGGCATGAAGATGAAGTCATCGCTCATTTATTGATAGATCACACTTTTCTACCTTTCGGTACTCCATTGCGGCTAGTTTTAAATAACAGCGCTGAAAACGTAAATCACATTAAGAAAGAGAACACTGAGGATCGATCTCGTTACTATTTTGTTTTACCATCCCTAAAGTAACGGTAGCGCAGAAAGACTCCATCGCACGATGCACAACATATTAGCAAATAGAGTACCCGATAATGAACGGTCCTGAATCAGACGTGAGCAGCGATCAAATTCAACGTAAACGAGACAACAAATTTTTCGCCTTTTAAACTAATATATAACAAAGATGTAGTACTACCTGTAGATAAAATTTTACAAGCTAGGCGACCTTACCATGGAGATGAACATTACCAAATAGCTTTCCAGAAATAACATAAAGGTTTTGTTAGAATGAAAGCAAACGTATCTAAAGCTAAGAAAAAGCAACAAGAATATGTAGGAAATAAGAGTAAATAAATTAGCTTTGAAATAGAACCAGTATAATTTATGAAACATCGGAGAAGGCACAAATTAGATAAAAAGGTGGAAGCCATATATATTTATAGAAAGAACAGGACCGGTCTCATATAGAGTTAAGGATCAGCTTACTGGTGCAACTACAAAGGAAAACGCTGTCGATCTTCGCAATGCAAAGGTCGAAGAATTCAATATTCCCAAAGGGAGAAATAGACCGATGCTAAAGGATACCTTACCGGCACCTATGAGTAACAGTGACTAAGAGGAGGGTATGATAGTAGACCCTCTGTCCGATATAATCGATAGGTTTCGGAGGATGAAGAAGAAGAATACGCGCTGCCTCCGTTGGAGAGAGTAGTGACACACAGGGAGCGAGATTAAAAACATATTGACGTAATTTGTTAGGACTCCGAAAAAAAATACGAAAATTTAGTATCTATCTATGAAAATAGTAATGTAGCTAACGGTGTTTTTGTAAATTTCTTGACCATGGGTCCTTAAACCCGACAAGTGATAAAGAAGAGAGAAAAGTTTAGTCGAGGAGATCCGGAAGGAAAGTTTGTTTTTATGTTTAAGAAGGGAAGAGAACACTATTTACATTATTCCAACTATTGTCCCTATCTTTGTCGCCTAATTTATTAAAGTAATAAATATGGCGACAAGTATGAGGACAATAGCCCGAATAACGTAAACAGTGTAGATAATACCTCATCTCACAAATATAGACAGATACTGAAGGGAAGAGAAGTGTCTGATGCGAATATTGATTTCCCGAAATAGTCTTAGTTTAAATTTTCATTAGATGGATCCATGAAGAATTTATACATTTCACGTATCATTTGTGCATATCTTTTCTTTCGTTTAATTTACTATTTTCTCATATTAGCTTATTAGAGAGCCTCCTACTGATACCCGCTGTCGATCTTCGCATTGCGAAAGTCGATGAATGGGACATTCCAGGAAGGAGAAATAGACCGATGCGAAAGGTTAACTTACCGGCACCTATGAGTAACAGTCACTCAGAGGAGGGTATGATAGTAGACCCGCTGTCCGATATAATCGATAGGTTTCGGAGGATGCGTAAAAACCCTGGAGAAGAAATCGCGATGCCTCTGTTGGAGAGAGGTGCTAAATAGGGAGCGAGATCATAAACATATTGACGTAATTAGTAAGAACTCCGCAAAAAAAATAAAAAAATAAAAAAATACAGAAATGTAGTATCTATGTATGAAATATTAATATAATATAATATAAAAATGTAGCTAAGCGTGTTTTTGTAAATTTCTTGACAATGCGTCCCTAAACCGACAACTGATAAGGAAGAGAGAAACATTTAGTCGAGGAGATCCGAAACGAAAGTTCGTTTTATGTTTCAGAAAGGTAGAGAAGTGTGAAAAAAAATAAATAAATTTTTCTGATGAGAATATTGATTTCCCGAAATAACAGGCTTAGTTTAAATTTTCAATGTGATGGGCCCATGAAGAATTTACACATTTCACGTATTATTTCTACATATCTTTTTGTTCGTTTAATTTACTATTTTCTCATATTATCTTATTAGACTGCCTTGTACAGATACTCGCTGTCGATCTTCGCAGTGCAAAGATCGATGAATGGGGCATTCCAGAAAGGAGAAATAGACCGATAAGAAAGGTTATCTAACTGGCATCTATGAGTAACAGTGACCCGGTACAATCGATAGGTTTTGGAGGATATCTGAAAACCCTGATGAAGAATGTGCTGTGTGATGGAGAGAGAAGTGGCACAGAGGGAGTTAAATTAAACAATATTGAAGTAATTAGTTAGGGCTAAAACAAAATACAGAAATGTATGTATCTATGAAAATATTAATGTAGCTAAGGGTGCTTTTTGGAAATTTTTTGACCATGCGTCCCTAAAACCGACAAGTGATAAGGAAGAGAGAACAGTTTTAGACGAGGAGATCCGGGGGAAAAGTTTGTTTTTATGTTTGAGAAAGGAAGAGAAGTGTGAAAAAATCAGAAAAAAATGAGAATATTGATTTCCCGAAATAACGGAGTTAGTTTAAATTATTTTTGCAATGTGATGGGTTCATGAAGGAAGACGAAAGGGACTTCAATGAAATTGAACGAACTGTTGGAAACAGATCAGAATTATTTGTGTCGGCAAGAAAACCAAAAATAAACGAAAGTTGTGGAAAACAACGCAGAGTGGAATTGCTCTGCGCCATGTGAAACGAAATCTTTCATTGATTTACTGCTAACGAAAAAATCCTTCTTATATAACCAAATGGATGCAAGGTTATTTTTACTTCTGTTTCTTTCTCAAAGGACACTTATTTGAATTGATATTTGTTTTCTGTTTGATTATTCTGTGTGTGTTTTAAACCATAAATATCACTGTAGCGAGCGAAGGCCGAGAAGACAAAGTAAAACAATATATAACAATGTTTGTTTTTTTTAAGACGGGGGCGGATGTAACAGTGTGAATCAGGCGAAGTCTTGTTAAATTTTAACACAGCAGGGCCTGTCGAACAATTCGATACAGAACATTTAATTTCGAATTACTTTCAGTAATTGGAGTTAAATTCAAATACACGAGCAAATGGCTCAGACTGAGAGAAAGTGATGGAAGGAAGATTAATTACATTTTTAGACGAAGATGACAAAACAAAGACGACTTTTGTCTATAAACCTGACTAACCGAGGCAATGGAAAATGGAAGGAAAGAAGCTGGCCTCACAGAAAGACATAGACGACGACCGCTGAACCGTGTGCTTCCCCCTCACTTACAGCTCAAACCACCTTCTCTTCCTCATAGCAGTAATTTACTACTTAAGAATAAAATCTGGTTTACTGCTAGAAATTGTTTTGTTCTTCATTCGTGGGTAACAATCTCGTCGAAGCGTAATTTTTAAGCCACAATATTTGTCTGAAAGAAACTGCACCCTGACAATCTGGTGTCTGGTTT